TAGTACTTCCATTAGCATTATAGCCTTGTTTATAAAGTTCACATTCATGGAAGAGCCACGCGCACCGAACAAAGGCATATACACAACATGCTGTCACATAATCATTTTAATTAGGCTTATTCAAACAGAATCCTTTGCATTCATCGAATTGTTGCTATCACTGAATGCCTACCAACTGTGTGTGCTATTTGTCTTGCATGCAAACGGAACTTGACGGAACAGCACATCAAAGTGAAACGTGACAGACTTTAAGCCCATGTACACCCAGAAATCTGGGTCATGCTCGACAATTACTAATTACTTTTACACAGGAAATAGGTAAATTTCATTTGTCTTCACTGGATGTCGGCTTGAGTGTGCCGCCTCATTGCCATGACATACATTAGGTGGTGGAGGCAGTAATGCCATTAATATGGTAGTACTGACAATGATTGCAGAGACGACTTCTTTTTTTTTCAATGTCCTTTTACATATGCAAAATAAATTGCAGCGTACTCCCAACCTAATCAACATATGGCAATCGAAGGCGTTTCTATTAATTTAACAGCTATAAAAATATGCAAGATAGATGTATGCGTGTTGCGTTCGTACATCAAAAGAGCACGTGTACACACAATATGCCCAGTATTGAATCTATAAAAATTTCAACATACACTGCGAGCAAAAAATATCAAGATAGTTGTGCCTTAAGCAAGTGCAAACATTTTCAAAAGCCTGCTTGGACATATGTATAAATCTTTAGTATAATACTCAGAATTTGTATAATTTAATAATATATAACAAACAAGTTGAAAAGTTTATTCACTTTCAGTTGTTTTTTATTTAGCCATAAAGTTTCTTATCTACTTAAATACACGTGGATGCTGTAAATAAGGTACATTCAAAGACAACAGTGTATGTAGACAATATGCGCCACAGCTGTGGTAAAACCTAGATATACGCAAAAATATATAGTCTATCTATTAGGTTACACATCGACATGATAAGCGATTTGGGTATTATAAACAACAATAAACGCGACGTTTTAATATCTAATTCGAAGTCTGGCGCTGAAAATAAACCAAGTCCAATGTCTTGAGGCTGCCACATTAAATGAACAAGAGTCAGAAGCAGCAGCAGGCTTGAAGCACTTCAACAGGTGCTCCCTCAGATACAGGTAAACGAGCTGTCAGATATATACGCGTGGGCACAAAGCAAAGTTATTTTCATACCATTTGGATAGCTGCCTAATAGCTAAATAACAGGAATTTACTACCATAACAAAAATAGGCGAGTTCAGTTCAGTTTCAAGAATAAATAATTACAATTATTTTAAGAACTAAGCGGCAGCTTTTTGCCTTGGCCATTATGCAGGCATCCCCTTTGTACATCAGCTAAGCTAAATCGGGATCTTGCACGTCTGCAACAGTTTTTGCTGCCCTTACTTGTTGTTGCTATGACAGCATCTAAAATTAAGTGAAACACTGGCAGGGAACGGCCTAGCACACCTGTTAAATCAATTGTAATCCATCCAGACACCTAATGAGTTCTACTCGAGTGCATTGACAGGACAATGGTGTTTCATTATCCGTAACTGTTGAATGCGCACAAAAAATTTGATTTGTCAAATCTGTGCGTTATTGGTCAACAAACCCAAACAAAATTGATTTATGTGCGCATCGCTGGATATTTGTAAGCACAAGCGTTAAATCTTGAAATATTTGTGTCTCATTTTAGCTGCTGGGTTTTTAATTGAACTACAAATGCGTCTGCCACAAAAGTTGGACAAAGTGAAACAAAGTCACGTTGTGGCAAGGTCACTGTCTGCTGAATAACTCACCTTGGCGTCATAAAACACATACACACTCAAACACGCGTGCACAGCACGCAGGCAAGCGTGCATTGTCTATTGGCCGTAAACTTTGGCGTTATGTATGAACGTCCTTGATTAAGGACTTACAAAATGCGAGTATGCCACACACATATACAGAAAAACTGGAGTATATTTTGTTTTAACTGGGGCAGCGTGACTGACTAATAAAACTAATTAAAAATGAAACAGGAAAGAGTGCGGCACAGGTATGAGAAACTATGCAGCATTGACTCATAATCGCATTACCGCAGTGGCATCAGCTGTTCATGCTGGCGGATGCTTATTATGTGGGGCAGCTATGAAATATCATAATTAACTGCAGGGCAGCGTAACTTGTTCCTGACACAGATTGATGACACATACAGAATTGAGACTTAGGCTCTTAGCTATTAACTTGAATATCTAATAATACGTAATGGCCAAATCGTTTGTCTCTATAATAGCAAAGCAGATGCGTGTCACGCAACTGAACTGCAGCTGATTATAATTAATAATACCGTATAATCGGCTTAAAACAAGAATTGGGTCAAATGCATTGCGCATAGGCCACATTGTAAATGGACACATCAATACATTATTACACTAAAGAGCTGTGAAAACACCTTTCCGACTATCTAGGCATTTTAATTGAATCTAACAAAATATATAATAGAATAGGCCAATAGGGGAATTCTAACTTCTATATACATTTTTAAGTATCCGTTAATAAAGACGGCGAATAGAATACTCGCTCTGATTAAATTTTGGTATTCGTGTTAGCTTAAGTTGAAATATTTATCTAATTATCGCTATTTACTTTTAGTCAACAGTGCATTCAATTAAGTCTCCACGCGGTTGAGTAGTTAAATAGGAGGACACATACCTTTGGGCAAATCTCCAACAAAAATAACGTATACGACCCGAATTTATACAAACGCTGCCAACCTGTGGTTCAGACAAAAGAAAAATACATAAAGCACCGCTGTACGCCAAGAATGGGTTTCCTTTGCCAGCAGTATTCGGGTAAAAGCCGTCGAAAAACGTTTAATATTTTTTTCGCCAAGGCAAACAGAACTTTTAAGTCAAGGACTCCCACTCCACAAATGCCAAACTCGAGGCACTTGTCGCCAAAAAGAAGGGCAAACAATACCCAAAGCAAAGTCACCAGGGAAATGCGTTTTAAAAATGAAAAACAATTTTTTTTGCAGGCAATAAATTTCAAACAAAGCTTTAGTTATAAGCATTAAAGTAAATAAATAAAATAATATGTTTGAAAAAGTTATTCCCAAAAAACATGTAAGAGCCCAAAATTAAAAGTGACCTTCGCAAAAAAAAGACTAAACTGACCACAATTTAGCTTCTGGTGCTTTTTATTCTACTATCTAAAAGTTCTTTTCTCTTTGTGATGCTGAATAGTGGAACATTTTGCCTTTGTTGTGTTACATGCACGGCCATTTTTATTGTTGCCTGGAAAAACAATTGCCCAACGTGCATTAAATTTGCCGCCAACGAGTTGTCCAAAATTTTTGCATTTTCTAGGGAATTTCTATTTAGTTTTGCAATGGAATAATAGACCGCACGTTTAGAAATATATTATGAGTACAATGCCTCTTATGAATTATGCACATGCATTGTACACAAATACAATCCTTTATAATAAATAATTTATATATTTACATGCGTATACGCAACTCATAATTTCTGAATTCTCAGAAAAGAGGAATGGCATGACATGAAGTAATAAATATATTTTAAACACGTGTACAACTTGTATTGACTTTCTGTCATCTGCATTTCGATTAAATTGAACCAAAATCCCGCAAAGAGGAAATGAACACAAGTATTTGAGATCGCCCGATGCCTATCAATTAATCATTGCAAATAAATTTCCGGCTGTGCGCTGTGATATTTAATTAAATTGAGTTCACAGTTAACAAAAAGACGTGACTGTATTAACATTAACCTCATTGACACTCAATAGAAATTAAAACGACGGTAAATAAATCAGAGAGTTCTTTCAGATAAATTCCACAATGCAGCGAAAAGTGAAGCGCAAAACATTTGCCCCAGCGCACTTTAAAGGCCAGACAAATTGTGCTGAACAAAGGGAAACTGCGCTCAAAATGAAACTTAAGTCAAGCTGCCTTGGTCGAAGCCAAAGAAATGTTCAAATAAAATCAAATTACAAACTGTATCTTTTTGTGTTTTGTGCAATGTTTTTTTCCTTTTTTCCCTTTTTTCTTATTCTAATAGCCAAGAGTTGAAAATTATTATTTAATTGCCTGTCAGGCATCAAATATCATCAAAATACTATTCCTGTTACCGCAAAATAAACTACGGACTGGCAAATTTATATTTTTACCCAAACATTTTGAATATTTCGTTTGGTTTGCAATGGCCCTTAAAGCCTATGTGAAATGAAAATAAGCTGTACTCAGTTCGGATTACAATTTTCACTATTTTCTAGTTAAAGAGCAGTCGAAATTAGTTTCAGCTCAGCTTGAATAGCTAGCTGAAAACTTCTGAAACTTTAAATAATATATACGTAGCAGTGAAACATGTTCGAGCCACAAGCATTTTTAACTCTGACTGCATAATAACAATTAAGATTTGTGGCTTAAAGCGGTTTCTGCTTATTAAGTCCATGCATTTGTGGACTATGTGCTATATAAATTAGCATTAAGCATACGCACTGTAGCCCAGTTGCTTTAGTCATTAAATGTTAAGCCCAAATAAGTCGTCTTCTTATATAACTAGCAAATACACCTACACATCTTTATATACGCATTTATACATAATGTATCAGCATTATTGTTTGCCCTGGCTTGGACACTGGCATTGTTAAATTTCGCTTTTTACATGCATTTCAATTGCGTTGTGACACTTACAAAATTCTCCAAGCCAGTGCTTTGACGAGATGCTTTCATTGTTATTTTTTTATATTATCTTGTTGATATTTGCGTCATATATTTGGCTGTTTCCTATGCTCCCATCAAATTGTCTACGGAATTTCCGCATACGTGAACAAAAGGCAGCTGCTCCTATCGTAGAAAAGCAATAAAAACAACCCAATAGGATGCCTCAAACTGGCCTTTGTAAGCAATTTGTGGACTGGATCAGGCAATGTCTGCGCTACATTTTTTTTTGAAAATTTTTGACAAAATTGAAATCTGGCGAAGCAGTGAATATATTTTAAAAAGGCTCCATAGTAAACAGATACATATCACGTGTATGTCTCAACTTTGCAGCTCTGAAAACGATAGTATAATTAGTTGCTTTCGAGAGTTCTTTAGGAAAAACTTTGCTGTTATGCAAATGCATGCACATGCAGCTCTTTACTGAACATATTTACAGCCTTTTATATATCCACATTGCATATTTCACAGTTGCCGTTAACCACAGTCGAACCGCCCCGCCTCACGATCGTATTGCGTCCATTGTTATAACCCGGACGACTGACAACCACATTGCCGTTGTTGAAGCTGCGATACTCCTGGCCATCTATATACACCGATTCACCATTTGGGTTGGGACCTATTGATGCATGTTGTTGAGTGTTTTGTGATTGAATGCTTGAATGCAACTAAAAACTTACAAGTCAAACAAACGCCGTTCACCACCACAGTGCTGGGATAAGCTGTAAATTGAGTATACGCCACAGGGGCAATTAGCATTAATCAGGAACGAATTGCTGTAATTGCTCACCGCTGATCAGCGACGGCAACAGTGCCAACAAGAGCAGTCCACACGTCAAGTACTTCATTTTAGTTGCTGCCAACTGTTCCACTCACTTAAAGCTTATATAGTTTTTTATAAATGCCTTGTAAATCAAAAGTAATTTCCATAATGTGTGTGTACTGAATGTTATCACTAACGGTTCAATAGGCGGCATTCAATAAACAATGCAAATGCGACGACTACTAAGTGCGCTACTTGAAATTGATGATGGGTGAATAAACACCTAAGCTCTTTAATATCACGTACTGAATATATGCAAGGCAAGTCGCCTTTGTATGGCAATATACCCCTCATGCATAGTTGGGAAAAAGCACATTGATAACTTCAAAATAAATAAAATTCCCCAAAAGTGCAATATATTTTATTTAATAACAATACAGCACAGGCAAATAGACTCTCCCACAAATTCTTGGGCATATTAAAAATAGCTTCATTTAAAATTCAAGTAAACCTTATTTACATATTTAACATATACTAACTGCTCAAAATTGTTTATGAACATGAATGATTATTGTGTTTCCAAAGAAGCCGGCCTTTCCCACAACAATGCAAATTAAAAGGTTTGCGTTGACTCTGACCAAAGCATCAACCAATTGTCGTGACTATTAGAAATTGCATTTTCATTTGATGCTCTGTCCCACTCGACGTAGAGTACTTAGATTAGCAGCTAGCTGAAGCTTAGCAATGTATTGTGTAATTATTGTTGTAATTGTTCGAGCGTCAACAACGACGCATCACATACAGAGAGTTAGTAAGTATTTACGTTTAAAACTGGGCATTTCCCCACTTTGATTAATATTTGTCTCCTACACACACACACACACACACACACACACACACAGTAGTATATACCAGTTTCGGTTCACATTAGCGATAAGACGATCATTGAATTGCAAAAATAAAAAAAGTCACACAGTGTACAAACGACGCCGTATAAAAGTCGGCAGCGCCTATGGCACCTAGCCAGACCCGTTTGGCATCTCAGTACACCAACAACTCAGCCAGAATTATGGTGAATTTTACAGTGGCTTTTGCGGTTTTCATGCTGTGCGCATTCGGCATGACGGAGGCGGCCGTGTACATTGGTGGCGGATGTTATGATTGTAAGGGAATCGAATGCAAATAGGCGTCGCAACAAAATAATAACAAATAACTGACGACATTCACAGGTAATCCGCCCGGTGGTCAAGGGCCAGGCATCTACACAGGCGGCGGTGGCCGCGGCAATGGCGGCGGCGGCGGCAGCTACTATAACCCTGGAGCCGGTGGCGGCGGCGGCAGCGGACGTCCGGTTTACTCGGGAAACTTTGGACCAAATGGTTATAATGGGGGAGGTGGAGGCGGGCGCTATAGCAACGGTGGCGGTGGCGGAGGCGGTGGCTACGGTGGAGGCGGTGGCTATGATGATGGTCTGACGCAAATCATAAGCGGCTAAAATCGGCTTAGTTTTTTTTACAAAATATCTATACATAAATAAAAACAAAAAACAAATGATTTTGATGGAACCTGCACATATAGCTCAATTGCAAAGTGTCGACAGCGTGCTTGAAGTTTTCCAATTAAAACAAAAATTTTCAATGCAGTTTCGTGACGTTGAAGTGTCATTTGAAACAAAAGTTTTGTTGCACACACAACAAAAACAAATTTGACTTTATTGCAAAAAAAATTATCAATTCTTAGTTTATTGTAGCATAATAAGTATATGCTCACACAGAGCTGGGATTTACCCCTATGTGGTTTCCATTTAAAACTCTTGAATCAAGTGTGCATAGCTTAAAGATAAGAGAAGCAACCAATAAGGCTAAAGGTTAAGTGCAGGCAGGAATAAGCTGCACATGTCTTTTTAAGCGATACATATAACCATCCAAGTAACAGTTGATACGTAGCTTATACTGAAACATGTTATTAGATTTTATCTCACATGTGGCCATAGCCTTTGACAATATATTGCTTATCAGTTATAGACTGCGAATGCTGAGCTGAACCATTTTAGTTACCCCACGTATCTCTAGATATTTTTGTTTTACACTCAAAGCAATCGACAATATTGTAAAGGTCACAGCATGTAATTTTTTATTTCACATTATTGTATTCTGTGTATGTGCACTTCGTAAGGTACACCTAGCCCGCAGATTATTGCGTTCGAAATATATGAACTTTGCATATTCAGAATTCAATCAATACTTTGAATATGACTTTCTGATTAGCACATTCAAATCAAAAATAAAATCAGCGTTTGGCAATGAACACAATAATAATTCTCGCTTTTTTACAAACTTTTAATTAAAAGCAGCTCCTTACAGCAATGATGATTGCTCTTGAGCAGAATTTAATCCTTTGCATACAGGTATATCAGTCTTGAAAATAAATCAAACTATGGATTCCGAAAATTCAATAATATCTCAGTTATTCATGCCCAAACTAAGTTATTTCCTAGAAACCAATATTCAGGCTTTCCTATGCCAGTAATACAAATAAGACCTCCAATCGAAGGGCCACAGCTTTGTTTCACACATGCTATCATCATCGGTCAGTTCGCAAGAGCAATTGAAATTGCCTACTAAGTCAAATAGACTTGGCTTTGATTTACTTCCAAGTAAAACAATATTTTGTTACTAATATCCAATATTCAAGTTTTCCAACCCAATTTCAATTTAAGTCAAAAGTATGTGTTTCGTAACTTATTAAAGCTCACAAAGGCATTCATTTGCATTTGTTCCAGGTGTTCCTTACTCAACCCTAATTTAATTGCACAACCCTTTATGCTGCCAAGTTTGCAACATTATTAGGTTCATTCACTTGATGAAAACCCAATTAGGCCGTGTTGAAATCGAGACCGCATGACGCAAAGTTCAATGATCGAGTGCACTTTATCATTATTATTAGATTGTATTAGAATGTACAGGAAAATCATTCAAAAAACAAATATGTTAGAAATTTCAAGTAGTAAAAGTCGAACAGGCTTCTTCCTTTTATCAGCTAACAATATAAAAATTCAAATTTTCAATAGGAGATGTTACTTTCTATCAATTACACTAATTGCACTATACTCTTATACTCATTCCTTTTACACATTTGATGTGAAAAGTGTATACAAATGTTCCACACATACATACACATTTTTCTTTCTACTTGTGTAATTAGCCAGCCAGTGTGAGGTGCTTTCAGAACTTGTTTAAAAGCATGAGAGAGGTCAGCAAACAAATGTGAGATTTCTTTCAACATGCGTTGTGTGTGCATTCAATAAAAAATGCAAAATCACAGAAAGCTTATGAATTTCGAAGCATTCGTTTTCCGCACATGATTTTTTTTTTTTTTTTTTTGGTAAACGTAAAATTAAATGTCAGGATCTTACATTTTCAACTAAGTTGAAGAAAATCAATGAAATTTTACCACTTTCATGAGTTTCATATTCTGGTTTGTTTATACTCCATGGACATTTGTTGCACACAGATACTCTTTGCTTTGGGATTAATTTGCCTGTTGCACAGAAAGGGTAGTAAGTTGAAGTAAGTTTAATTGATTTTAGCATTAAGTGGAAAATCGGATTTCGCAATTTTGTCGCCCCGGGCCTTTAATTCCATACCGAGTTGTGCATTTGCATGCTGCATTTTGCTGCACCCATAGAAGCAAGTTATCTAATTAATCAACGAGCTTCATTGTTAAATGAAAAACAATTGGTAACTGGTTTTTAACTATGAACAATACTCTTTGCTAAACTCAAAGTTCATGTTTTTAAAAGTGCCTTGGCTTTACGCTACTCGAGTGGCAAGAACATCCTGGGCACAAGGGCAACCCTTGTCATCGTAATGGGTCACAAGTGTGTTGCACAGACTATTAGTGTTAGCTAGCAGTAAGAGCATCGCAACAAAATTAATATCGATCCTTATTGAAAGCAATGAGGCGACATAAATTAAATTCAGTTTTAGATTCAACTCACAAAGCTTAGTAACCTTAGACGCACCTCAACACCAAACTCGTGCAACAAAATATGCGAGCTATTTGAAAACTAATTTTATAGAGATATGCGCTAGCCAAAGTTATTTGAATGCGTCAGAATATTTGCTTTCCATGCTAGTTGTTTAGCTAAAGTTTGTCGTCAGTTTTTAAATGGCCAGCCAAATACGCAGAAAAACTTGTTGGAGGTAAATGCCAGAAAAACTTTACAATTCAAAGTTGAAATTGAAGACGTGACCAATTTGCCTTATCTAGAGAACAATCTTAAGCCCATGAGCTGTGAGAGAAATCTCTATTCATATTCACTGCCTTTTTTTTATAAAAATTGTTGTCAATCAGTTCGGCATATCACGTATGCGCCATGTCAGCTTTTATGGTGAAAAGTGGCATGCTAAGTATCAAATAGGAATTTGCAGTTAAACATAATGTAAATGTTGAACAATGAAATTTACATTTATTTAATACACAAATATACACATAAATAGATAATATTCAGCTTAAAGACTAACAAGTGTCGCTGTCCGACCCAGTACCCACCCCAGAGAATCACACGCCCATCCACGAAAAGCTCAATGCTATGCATTTACGACTGGACAACTAACACCACAACCAGCCACAGACCGAAGCTAATTTACGGTCTGATGGTATGTCGCAGGTAACGCAAACCCAGAACCATGGCCAGAGGTAAAATACTGCTCCTGATCCAGGCGATGCGCACTGAATGCGCGCAAATGTCCTCCAGATGGCGACAGTTGCTGAAGTGCTTCTCATCCGACAACATTTTAGCGGTTTCGCGTGCAAACTCCGCCGAGTGCTTATAGCATTTGTACCGTGCGCTATTGTAGATGCAATTCTCGTATGCGTAACGTGCACTGAAAGCAAGTGACCAACAATTATTTCCCCTCAGGCTGAGATATTCAGCAGGTGCTTACCAACAAAACTCCATGAATTTATCACTAACATTGCGTGTGCCGTCGTGCAAATCATCTGTCAGTATGTTCTCAAAGTCCGTGGTGCAGCTTATCCAGTCCACCTGTATATGCGTGAAGCAATCCTTGTGCCGCAGATAATCTGTAATTGAAATATGTTTAAGAATAACTATTGCCATATTAACTTTTTCACTCAGACTAACAAACATGCAGCTTAGCCTATAACTAATCACGATTTTTGGTGTCGAGCGGGAGTCTCAACTTTACAACTCATTTGAGACCAAAATATCAGTTTCTTGTTTACGCAATGTTTAAAACTGAAACGAAAAAAAATACCAATAAAATAGGAGACAAGAATGAATAATGAGAATGAGAATAATTATAATAATGTTTATATGTAATTTAATAAACTAAATGCGACATAAGTTCCAAACAACCTGAGCTCCTGAACATGGAGGGGCAATAGTTTAAAAAGTGCACCTAACTGTCGATAATTTTTGAACTTCATAATTGGTAGCAAAAACATTCGTGGTAAATTAAACGTATATATAAGAATGTATTGTTCTTAAAGTTAGTCAAGTATAGAAAAGTTGAGGTGTTGGTTGGACACCCTTACCTCGCTGAAAGTCCTCGTCGGCACAAAACTTTTTGAAAAACTTACGAGCGCCATCGACATTATTTTTAAACAAGTTCAGCTTTCGATTTTGTAAACAACGAGCTGAATAGGCATCAAAACATTTCATGCCACGGTTGAAAACCCTACAAATAAATAAATTTGAATATTCATTATGCATACTTTATAAAGGTTTAGACTTCATTTACTTAAGGTGTCTTTATGTTTCCACAGATTTGGGTTTTTATTTTATAAGAAACTTTAAAAAAAAAGTTATGCGCTACGATTTATTTATTTTATTTAATGCCGTTGATGCTGCTATTGTTCTTATTGAAATTTTAATTGGTGATCAAATTACAATGCTGCCTTCATAAATTGAGTTGAGCTCGCCAAATTAGGTTTTCACGAAATTCAATATCGCCCATTACCGAGCTTATGCGAGACATAAGTAAAAAGTTTGTATTTATTTTCAACTTTGTTGCTGTTCTTGATAATTTTACACGGTACTTAGCTTAAAGAAAGTCCAAAGTGAACCCTTTTAATCAAGGCAAAAACTTTGCTTTCTTGGTCCAAGTTTGATAGAAAGGCCAGCCAGAACACTTATTAATTATGAACTGTAAGTATCTTAAGAGAGACGCCGCATCTGAGCGGCTAATCAATAATGTATTTCACTTAATGCTCCTGGCCAAGGAGTTTTATTTATAGCGACACTCACAGCTCAGCTTATCTTGCGTGAATCTGAAATACCGCTGAGACTTACTTGCACTTGGCAATGATCTCTTGTTTGCTGATGACAATTTTAGTATTCTGCAAGAACTCCATTAGATGTGGCGGCAAATCCTTGAAGCATTCGTCAACCATTTTTTGAGTGCTGCCGCACTTATTCACATGAGCCAGTACCGGCGGCTGCTGCTGCAGAGTTTCATTTCCTAAATCTGCCATGGCAACAAACACCATGCCACAGCACAAAACTGATACAAATACTTTGCCGTGCCACATTATCGTCCTCTCTTGAATACACTTGTTGCTACGAGACTTTATTGTTTGTGACGTTGTATGAACAAATCGAGTCCCGTCCGCTTTTCGTCCTTGCGATTCGTCTGCTATCAAAGAACTGAGCCGGTTTGGTCAATTCCATCTATTTTTAAGGCTCGCTAACAGAACGCTGTTAACTTGCTGTTAAACTGCTGTTAAAAACAGCGCATGCACCTTGGCGCCTGTTGCACGTGCTTCTCGGTTTGTTTACAATACAAGCCCACTGTCTTTTTTTCTCTAAGTGGAAAAGACTCTACTTTATGCATAATTAAGTATTCTCAGTTTTTAATTGGGGCTGTTTGTTAAATGATTAATTGTGCTGAAATGAAAAAGTGCGAGTTTGTTTTCAATTTTTTGGGTGTTTATCAATTTTGAAATCACGTAAATATTTATATAATATAAATAAAATAAAACTGAAAACTTTTCAATTACTTGTGTTGAGGACAAATATAACAAAAATACAATAATCTAGCAAATTAACTTTTCAGACTTTTTGTTGTTTTAAAAGTTTCATTCCGAACCCCTGAATTGGTTATTGATATCGGGTTGGCGTTGCCCCGCTTGGTGAGACAGACTTTGCCGTACATTACTGACTGCATATATGTTCTGACATGGCCTTTTTGTAAAGGTCAATTTGCACCTTCGTAGCACATATGTGGGTGGGTAAGCTAGCTGAAATATGGCATTGATATTCATTTCATTCAACAGGATTGTAATGACTTCTGTGTGCCTACGAACTGAACATATGGTGTATGGCTTGCTGAAAGTATCACAAATTAATTAACTGACTACCAGTCAGCACTTGGTGTAAAAATTCAAGATGTTTTTCAACCCGAGACACAAATTAAAAACATTTGACATCGTGTAGCTCGTTTTGATTATTAATCATTTAAAAGCGTAGCCTGAGTTTTGTTGAGTAAAAACTTGCAATACTTACCTGAACAAGGGTAACAAAAATCATGAAAATTTCTGTCCCGTTTAATCTTGTTGAACTTTTAGCAGTGAAAACTTTTCTTGATTTTCTTAAGCTACAACTTTGCCTTTATTTTGGCAGCAGACTTTAAAAGCATCAATGCTTAAACCTTGGAAAATGATTTTGCTTTAGCCTTGCGCTGTGCTATCGTATGTGAATTGGCATTGGATTTTTGAATAATGCTATTGTTTAGAAGCTAACCAGGTCTCAGTTGCATGGATTATTAAAATTCAGGCGGTGAATCCTGCAAAAACAGAACAATACTGCCGAATGTAACCCAGTGCATACAATTAGGAGCATACAGAGCTCATGTACAAGTTCTTGTGATTTCATTTGGCGTACGAACGCCTCTATTGTTTCATAGTTATGCAGTCTGCAGCACAGCTGTGGGCGAGCTTCTCCATGGCCATATCCGTGCATATTTCACAGCTTTCTCGATGATTCTGCACTGCATTATTGAGCCACAACACAGCTCAGATCAGTATTGAGAATAGTATTTTGTTATGCTGGACAACAACTCGATGGCACAGGCCTGTATGGGCTTAATTATCGGGCCGTGCATGACAAAACTTTCAATTAAATGACATTGAAATGCGAGGCATTCATATTTTTTTTTTTTTTTAGTTTTTTATAAACATTTATTTTATGCAAAAACTTGTACATAATTTAGTTTGATTTTATTACAGTTGCGTATATATGTATTTATTATTTGAACATGTGTGGATAGATTTGCAAGATTTGCAAGATTTCATTGAATTTGCAATTATATATTATATTTAAATGAATGAATATTGTTTGAAATAAATTTGTCCCAATAACACAATACATACAACATTCAAATTTTCGCAATGTGCTTAAGCTTATTACTATGCACTATATGGTATATGTATATATAGTAGCTGTATTAAATTACTCACAATCATCAATTGAATTGAATTTCGAAATCGAACACGAAACCAAAATAACAACGAGAAGGTTCGTTTTAGGCTGCACACCAAAAGATTTGAAAATTTTGGCGGTGCTCATTGCTACGATTGCACGATTGCCGTTACTAAATATAAATATTATTTAAAATTGTATCATCATTAAATAGTTGTTTTTTAATTTATTAAATCTGTTGTAATTATTGAGTATGTCGCTTCACATATTTCATATTATAATTTCATAATGTTTTGGCTGCTGCCTGTGATTTTCGCCACTTCTCCTTATTTAATTTACTCGTTCATTTTTTTTTTCTTTTTTTTTTCTTTACTTTGATTTTTTATTTATTTAACTTTTGTATGATTTTTGATTTGTGCCGCTATAAAATTAATTTAACATTTAACTTAGATGCAATATGTTTGAAAGGCACACTAATTACATATTTGTTTCAATTGGTTTATTTAAATTTAGCTTCGTTAAAAGCCCAGCTGCATTTAGGAAAATTCTTTAATTTAAAATAAAACGTAGCCGTCTTTCTTTTGTACCATAATTTAAATGCAATTTCATTTTTATTTTTCTCTTTATGTTTAATAATATATGCATTTTGCTTCAAATCGCAGATATGATAGTTAGCTGTTAATGGGTATAATGAGTTTGCGCTTTAAAAAATATAAATATATATATAAATATATAGAAAAAATTTACATAATCTTGCGTTTTATAACTTCCGACATTTATTTTAAATTAAAGAATTTCGGTTGTGTTTTATATGCGGTATTTTGGTCAAAAATCTTTTACCCATCATGAATTATTTATTTAACATTGTTTTTTTCTTTCTGGTGTATAATACATTGTGCTTGAGCTCAATATTAACACTAGACATTAAAACTATTTAGCTTTTACTTGTACATTATTAATGCTTGATATTCGTTACTTTTCATTAACTAAATATGGCTGTTACTTTTATTTTGTATTATTTAATAAGCACACGCGCTCACAATCAGCGCGATATATATACTTAATATTGATGTGAGTGTGTGTGTGTGTGTGTGTAAGTGGGTGTATAAAGTATATAACATAATCATAATCGAAATTCTTCATTAACAATGAATTTGCGTCAATTTAACAAAAATATACTCGCATAATGGATATTTTGTTATAATCTTATAAATTATCAGAGCATACAACAATTAATTGCCGCCTAATGAGTGGATGTGCGTCTGTGTGTGTGTGCGTGTGTGTGTGATTAATTACACAGATAAAACAATTGTTTAGCCTTAAAAAAACTACAAAAAAGATTCTTCATCGCGTTGTTTGATGTTCAAAAAAAATACAATGTTATAAAAAACGTTTTGCAGATGAGATTCGGTAATTGATATTCTCTGTTTTTGTTTAATTTTTTTTTTTATAAACAAATTGATATTTGTTATATGCACAATGGTTGTATGCACGAGACTGCAGTTTAATTAAGTAATTTTTGTTCGCTGAACTTTTCACTATGTACTATAACTTAAAAGTGGTTAATAGATAATAATTATGTGTGTTCTTCTTTCTTTCATGTTTTTTTTTTGTATGTTTTTAATTTAATCTAAAAACTATGTTTGATTTGTTAATGTAATTGTTTGTTTCGTTTTGTTTGCTGGCTGGCAAAACGCAACAGAAATGGCCACAAAATTCAATACATTATTTTCTGCTTCTTCTTGCTGTTGTTGTTGTTGTTTGCAGTTGCAGTTGCTGCTGTTGCATTTAGATGAGTGCTGCAGGTTCAAGCAACAGGCCACAGACTTTGAGTGGATATGTTTTTGTAGAGCATATACATGTGATCTTGTATGTTGTTGTGAGGGTGTGGGTGTGGTGTGAGTTGTGTGTTATTTTAGTAGTTGTCAGTAACAAGTGGGTCTTGCACAACTTGCAATTAGCATTTCACATTCCATACAAAATGGCAAACAATGCTGGGTTACTGCCACTGCCACACTGCTTCCGGTTCCGTTTCCGCTCCCACAGCTGTTCCCCTTATGGTTGTTAATATGCTGCTGTTGATGCTGCTGCTTCCATCTGATCTTAGTACATCATATGCGAATCTCTTGCTGCTGTTTCCTGGCTGCGCCTCAATTGTAGGTGCATCTATCGCATCTATCCAAAACGCAGGCGGCAAACGGCAGGCGTTAGGCGTTTGATAAGAAATTTTGGTGGTTTTTGTGTTTTTTAAATGCATTTTTAATGTGTATTTGAGATGTGTTGTTGGCAGATTTTGTTTTAGATTTTTATATATATGTTTTTTTATTTTTTGGTTAGCATGTAAATAAAAGAAGTCATAGAAATGGAAATTGAGTTTTAATAAATGGTTAGAAGTTAGTTATATCGTTTTTATTTTTTTTTTGTATCGTAAAATACCTAGCAAAAAAAAAAAAACATAGATGTTTACATATGCGAATTATGAGCACAAAAAGTTACTAAATGAAAGCGGGCATATATTATGTATGTATGTACTTGTACTTATGTGGAACAATAAATAGATCATTAAGAGCAGGGCACACAACATGCAGGCCAAGATTTCAATACCTCACAGACTTTTAGTAACTTTTTACTTCGAATGTAAAAACTATTCAAAAAATTGAATTTTTGAAAACAAAAATAAGGAAATAAAATAAAAAATAGGATTCGTTTGTACCAAAAACATTCTTCGAGTTGAAAAGGACAAACACATACGCAATAAAAATCGTAGATAGTGCAAATCTAAGTGTTTGACATGTTAATAGTTTTCTATGTCAAACTGTTTAATACGTTGTTAAAGAAACATTTATTGGTTATTAAAGTCGCTTAAGGAATTTGTCGAGTAATTTACAAAACAACGTAAAAGTTTATTATTTATTTTCTAGTTTTTAATTTTATCGCTTTTTTTTGTGTTTTTGTTTGTTTTGTTTTTACTTTTGATTTCTTTGTTTAGTTAACTTGGCCTTTGGTTAGTTAAAATTAGCAATAATATTACATCACATATCATTTGATATTTATATGGTTTTTATACATATGTAAATGCTATAGAGTATCGAATTTAAAGATTAGAGAAAATATAAAAAAATAAAATTGCAGGTGCATTGGCTGTCAATTGTTTAAATAATAAATTGTTCAAAAATGCCAAGGTAAAGCGTTATTTACATTTGTTCTATTTTTTAATGTTTGTTTATTTAAACATAATAAAATTGTGTGTTTTTTCTTTTGTTTTTTTTTTTTTTTTTTTTGTTTAGCATCAGCCAAAGGGAGTTTTTTTTTGTGCATATCACGAGTTATTTTTGATTTTTTTTAATATCGTAATCAGACATTCTTGAGCATGGCATTAGAATCAATTTAGTAATTGTTTTTGTATAGGTCTGTATACGAGTTGATTGTGTACATGTATATGTATTCAATTCTGTGTGTGCGTGTGTGTGTTTGTTTGTTTTGTGTTACAGGAGTTGTAAGCAAATGCATATGCAATTTTATAAAACGTTACACAAGTATTTTTTATCTTACTATGCTAGAGAGATATTTAACATATGCATTACTGATACCAGAACCGTTAAGCTTATAGATTAAGTCTGTTAAATACACATCAAGATATTTTATGTATATAAAATGTATACGTGGTAGTAGGTGGAATTTGTTTTTTTTGTTGGCTTTAAACTGCTTCTGGCGCAACATTTGCAAATTATTTATTAACTAATACTAAAGTGTGCGTGTAATTATGTACGAGAATAGAAGTGAGACAGACGTTAAGCATAGAGTTATGCCCCGAACTAGTATGTGGTAGTGGTTGTTGGTGGTTGTGGTGGTGGTGGTGGTGGTGGTAGTAGTAGTAGTAGTAATAGTAGTACATCAGGCCCCACGCTGGCTAGGAGTGTGCGTACACAGAGCTTAAAGCTAAAGTTAAGTACTTAAGTTAGGGCACTAGAGTTGCAAACAGAAGTTAAGTGTTTTAATTGTTTTCGTTTTCTTAATTATAATATGCATTTCTTCTTCTTTATGGTGATCAATGAGTTATGTGAGACGAAGTAGGAAGTGTTTTGGTTAAGTTCAGAAAGCGTTAGATTTAAACGACTGAAAAGAGTTTTACGAATACCCGGAGGGCATTCCAAGATCGAACAAGAAGTGAAATTATAAGACTTGGTGTACTTTTTTTTGTTGTTGTTTGTTGGTTTTGTTTTCTGTGTTCGGGTTGCACTTCAACAAAAGTCATTGATCTTTATTCTGGTACACTTTCAGTTCAATTGCAACATACATTTTAAATGATATACAAGGTAAACTTTACAGACTAACAGGGCCTTATAATCTAAATACACATATAAAATTCATAATAGATAATATTATAATAATAATAATAATAATTATATATGGCTTAAGAAAAAGTAATACAAAAAGTACTAAATTGCTTTTGCTTTCGAGTTTGCAGTAGAAATTGATATTCGAATTTCTTACCCATATCTTTTTTTTTTTTTTATCTCATTTGATTTTTTTATTCTTTTCGTTTTTGTAAAACATCAAAGGCACAAGTCAACGTCGTCAACAAAGAAATAAAATAGACTAACAAAAATATAAAAACAACGTAATTTTTTTTTAACGTTTAGCAGCTTTAAGCGGCTTTTTTTGTCTATTGCACTAACAATTTCAGCATGTGTCTGTCTGTGTTGATGTTGCAAAAATGTGTTTTCAATTTTCATTTTATTTTATGTTTTTTTGTGAGTGTTGGAAAATGTATCAAAACTCGAATGTGAAGTGCAATTACCATTGTCGGAATAGCGATTGCTCTTCACGTGAAACAAATAAATGTAATAAAAAGAATTTTTTTTTAAAAAAATGAGTAGAAACACAACTAACCTGTGAGGCGCTTGAGTTATTTATTGGACTGAATTAACTGAGTTACGGAGCTGCACAGACCGGCCTGGCCAACTGGACTGGCTGGGTTTCATTGTGCACACAGCAGGGCAACAGCAATTGATACAAGAGGTTCTTCATATTATATTAAAAACACTTTTTGAAAACAAATTGAATAAAGTAAATTTGATATAGATGCAGAGTGCAAAACAAATAAATACAAAATCGTTAGCATAATTGAACTAAATTGAATAATGCCCAGTTTGAACATAATGGCGGGCTTAGATAAAACAAACCACATAATTTTGCAATAAGTTTGCAAGTTAAACGACAACACTCATCGTTAACTTCTTTAACATAGTGAGAAAAAATTTAAAAATTTGCTTTAGATAAATACAAAAAAAATTGGTTTTGGGTAAACGTTTTTGTTTCGTGAACTGAAACGAAATTCATTTATTGCTGTTGTTGCTATATTGTGCGTTTACTGTATCTCAATGAAACCCGCCGGCTTGGCTGGCACTCCGACCGTTGTACGCTGATATGGGTGTTCTCTGTTAGCTGCCAAACGACGTTGCTGCTTAAGGGCGCCTACTAAAATATACGATACGATACATGTAGATATGTGCATATAAAGTAATATATATGTATATGTGTATATATTGGTATATGGATTATATATATATATAATATTCAAAGCAATAAATATATATATGTACATAGAGGCATATATGTATATATGTATATTGTCTACAAAACTTATATGTAGTAATAAAAAGAAAAATATATATATATATTTATGCTTGCTCTTTGCTTTTGTTTTAAACAATACACAATAATTTTCCTTTTCGCTGCTGTTGGAACACTGACACTGTTTGTTTTGCTAATTACCAATTTCATTATTTATAACAAAACAAAATTATTAAAGAATATAAAATGTTTTTAATATTTATGTAACTGCAATTGCATGTCGGTTTACATTTAAATTCTGTTTCTTTGGAATGAGTCGTATATATTGCATATTGTTTGGTACTGGGATATCGTTGAGACAAAATAAGTGATCTTTAGGCAGCTCAAACTAGCCTAAATTATGTCTAACAACTATTTGTTTATATTTGTGTGAATATATAAGTGAATATATAAGTATGTTATATGCGTTTTTCTTTTTTATAACTTTAGTGTAAGAGTTCTTTAGCATTCTTCCAGCTGTCTATATCAGTGTCCGTCTGTTTGAACTGTTTGTCAAACATTTGATGCTCGATTTTGCTGACTAGTTTTGCAAATAATTGTTGGACGGCTGCCTGAACCTCAACTAACTTATGTCTACAAATGTTTAAGCACCAAAACGATTCGAGGCTCCATATAAATATGATAAAATATGCGTATATATTTTTTTCCCTTTTCTTTTATTAAAATGCTACAAAATGTGAGGCTGTTACTAATTGCTCAAAATGGCACTGGCTGGAAAAAAAAATCAAACGGTACGGAAATCAAATGTAAAACTTGAACTTGTCGTAAGGTACATTTGTTCATAAATACTGAGCTTAATTGCTACACAAAACTTATTAGCTATCAGCTAAAGATTGCACTTAAATAGAATTGAAAACTCAACAAAAAAATTGTAAGAAAATAAAATCAAATAAACATCAACCTACACCGCAATAAACAAAATAAAACAAAACAAAAAAAATCAAATAAATAAAGTTATTTAAGACCTAACCGTATGTATTATACATACTTATATAGAAAACTAGAAAACATAGACAATTGTAAATACTTAAAGGCTAAATAACTCTCAGCAACTTTGTTGAAGGCTTTAAGTAATATATATGTATGTAAGTAGAATACTCATTGTTCCCAAACAACAACCAACAAATTGCGCCGGCAGTTGCTGTCATTGTTGTCTCTGCTGAATTGTTGTTGTTGTTGTCAACTAGAATATACTCATGTTCAAAAGTAGATAATTTGCAATTGGTTAAAGAGCTCCAAAACAAAAATAAAAATGCTTAAAGGAAATAAAAAGAAGACTGATCTGCGTCTAAGCGCCTTAAGATCACTTATTTGCCAATCGCCAGTTGCCAGTTTGTAGAAATGTTTGCGACCTATGAACTAACAAAAACTTTGACGAGCAATAATCATAATTACTTATGTAACTTTTTTTTTTCATTTGTATTTTTTTTTTTTTTCGATATATTCTGTTGTTTTAGTTTTTTGTTGGTTTGCTTTCAATGAAGCTGCAGTTTTGTATTTGAGTATTTGTTGTTGTTCTTGTTCTTGTTGTGCTGTTTTGCATTTGTTGTTGCTAAATAAATATATATGTATATATGTATGTATACATGTATGTATGTACTCTATAATTAAATATGTAGTATACTACTTTCAATATGTTTAAGTATGTTCTGTGTTGTACACTCTGTCAACGACAGACTCTTTTTTTAACTGGAACTAAAACTAACAATTTATAGACTTCAATAAATTCTTGGTGCACTCAAACAAAAAAAGTTCAAAAGACGGAGCCGGCATGCATATATCGACCAACTGTAAATATTTGTTTATATCAGATTTCAGATAAAAAATTATTTGTCAAAAATAAAGGAAATTCAAGAAATTGTTAATATTATATTAATCAAAATTGTGTGTTAAGAAACTTTTCGATAGCTGTGAGGAGTGGCATGCAAAATATATGAAACAAGCGATGCCAAGGGTTAAAAGCGTGCACTAATCAAATTTGTGTAGCATACTTTATGGCACTGTAAGAATAATAAATCAAATCATAGCAAGAAGCATGTACTTCGGTTAGCCGAAGCTTGAATACCCTTACAGTTCTGTTTGGCAACTGTTTGTGCTTATGGCATTTAGATATTTATACACTTTGTATATACACATGAAATCTATCAAAGTAAAAAACTAGAAAGAATAGTTTTTTGGTATTGGTATTGCATTAATATATTTGTTAAATATAGTAAATAGTTTTCAGACAGATAGTCGGACATATATGGCTACTTCTTATTGAAATGTTGTATATATTACAAGTTTAAGTACGCCTTCGACGCCCTCTGCAAGGGTATACAAATAAATGCTCAAGTGAATACAAGTTAATAAGCTTGGAATTGAATTATAACAGAAATTATAAATTTTATGCATTAACAATACTTTCACTGGGTTTATAAATCTATATACAACGAAATGGTGCCTAATAGACTGAAATTTCAACTGGACGTATGTGAATGTGTCTAAGGTATCTGTGGTATTCTCAATAGAACTGTCAACGTTTAAATTATTTAAATTGCTTGCAAAGTTAAAACGTTAACAGATCAAACAAGAAAAACCCCCAAAATGTGTGGTGTAATTGTTTGTAAGTGTTGTAAGTAAGTATTATTGCTCGCAGTTTGGCTCGATAGCAAAAGTTAAAAAGTTGGCTAACCATAACTGAACTGATCGATGACTCGCCTTATAAACTGGCTTATTAGATGTTCTTATTTGTTTTTGTTTTGTGTTTATCGTTTTTGGTTTGTTTGGTGTAATTTCAAAATGATGTGTGTGCATGTGTTTGCTGGTGTCAACAGTTATGGCGCATATAGTTAAGAGTATATCGAATCAATATTTAGCTGATCGAAAATCATAATTTGTAGTTATAGATTATAGATTGTACGTATGTATATATGCTTCTTTTTTTTTAAATATATATGTATGTATATGTATTAAGTAGTTTATCTAGCAAACAACCCACCGCTATGATCTGCATACTCCGTCAGCAGAGGATTGCCGGTCAGTGCAGCATAATTCGCGTAGTCACCATACGGCGCAAAGATCATGCCATGGGCGGTCTGATCGAAGGCACCTGTCGGCGCTGCCTGGGCGGACAGTATGCTTGCCGCTGTTGTGGGCACTGTCATGCGTGGATTAAGTATCAAGGGTGCGCCCAGCGGTGCATTAGCGGGTGAACGTAGCTGTGTAGCCAGTCCGGACAGTGTGGGCGTCAACAGGCGACTATCCGATGCAGCAACCAAACGGCGCCAGTCCTCTTCGCACACTGCGGGATACAGAACAGAAGCAGAAGGAGAACCAACGCATGAGAAAGCTGTCCGTATAGAAAATCCATGTAAATTCAAAGAAAACACATTCATTATATCATTATTGGTTAGACGCATTAGATGACTCGATTTGCTCGATATGCAGTATCGCTTGCAGGAGCCGGATGGTATTTTTGTTTTTTTTTTTTAGTCAATACTGGGGTTAGCTGTTGGTATTAGACGAACGTTTCTCTTTTCTGTTTATGTATGAGTCGCGTAAATATGTAAAGATTTTTAACTTTTTCTTATAGGTAAAGCTTGATAAACGTACCTGCGACTGATTTTGCTGTTGTGTCCCTATAAGTGCCGTTAATAATGGCTAATTCCATAAGTTGACGTTTCTTTAGCTCATCTTCGCCTTCGGCTTGCTGTTAGTACAAGTTCGCGCACGCATGTGTGTTGAGTGTATTTGTTGTGTGTGTATGTGTGTGTAGTAGTAGTAGATTTTTTCAATGTATTAAACAAAATACATCAAAGCATATTAGATTGGTAAAAGAAATGAAAATAATATAAAAAAAATCATTATTAATATTATGGTTAACAATTTTAGCAAAGATATTTTTTACTTATTTATTTATTTTATACAGATAGATAGATACAGCAAACGCAATTGTTTTTCGCACACATTTTTTAATAGTGATTAATGAATAAAAGGAGGTGATTGGCATTAAATGCATGCCAAAATTTTAAATGATATTCTTTTTTCAATTACACGTTGTGTAAGCTCATGAGTTCTTTGTGTTTCGTATACTAAAGTGATTTTATTTCACTGTTTTCTTCGCATTAAAAAAGAAATGCGCTAATTTGATATATGTCATTTATATAATATAGCTATTATGTATTGACTTACCGGCACGAGCAACTTTTGCACTTCAGCGACAGCCTGAGCCAGTTTGACTTTGGCGCGATTCTCTGTATCTTCAACAGTGATCAGGACATGCAGATCATCAGACAAGTGCTCCCAGTTCGGTTTACCACGATTGGCATCCTCCTAATGAAAGAAATTCGAGAATAATTTATTAATATTTGCATCTGTTTAATTCGCTCTAAAACTACAATATAGGCTCAAGGAGAACTTATTAAAATTTGTTATAATAATACAGAGCTTATACTTGCTCTGCAAAATGGTTTCTTGAACAACCATTTTCTCTATTCATTCCTTTCAAAAGCTAAAGTTCCGGTTTTACAGTTTGCACTTAAACTTATCTATATCATCAGCAGAGCTACTTAAATATTCGTACATATTTTTTAGTGCTTCTTCACCGCAAACTCAACCACAACCACAAGCTGCAACAGTTTATTGGTGATGCGCGTAATAACAGAACCCGCCAAACGTGAATGCCAATAAAATCGCATTCCGCACCGCCCAGCCGCAAATTCTCTCTCCCTATGGTATTCCTATTGCGAGGCAATAAAAAAAAGGGTGGTGGGGAATGCTTAGAAATTGGCGTTGTAAGACGACATTTCGTAGCGCATGTTTTCTAATGGCCGCAAACAATTAAATGTGGGCGTAACGCTGCGCCACACAGAATGCATTTTTGTAATTTGAAAATTCTGCTTAAGCTGTTACTTTTCGGCCACGCCAAATACCCGCAGCCACTTTTCGCTGTCACGCTCGAAATATGTACTTAATATTAATAATGCATGGATGACCCAAAGCTCTGCGCAGCGCATTAACTTTTGACCGAAAATGTGAAAGAAGGCGAAAAATAAAACAGTTTATATATATATATTGTCATGTTTAAATAGAAATTCTTGGATTTGCTAATCAATTAGGCTCAAAGTGTCAGACGAGCTGTCAGTTTAGTTTTTGCTTTTGAAGTTGCCCCATCAGTGTCCAGAGAGAGCAGCGCTGCCTGGCTAATTCTGTCAAATTAAAAACTGTCAGGCAGGCAATGAGCCACGTTAGTGGAAAAGCGTTTTTCGCGTACAGTTTGACTGCATGTTGCATGGATTTTCAAACCAGCCCAAAAGCATTGGCATTTCTGGGTTCCTTCTGCACAACTCTGAGCAACATATTTTATCCTATTTCCATCGCTTATTTGCCTGCAGCTAATAAACTTTTTCGTTGGGCAGCTCTGTTCTTACGCTTGTCATTTTCATGAAAATCTCATGACTCACAGACTTTTGGCTGACGTTATACCAGCGAGCACTGAGCACCTGAGTGGGTGTCAGCTCTTTGTGTATAGCTACTAAATTATCAAAATATTGCAACGCTATAAAAGTGTACATTTTTATATGTCTTGTCTGTCCGTCCGTTTGTCCGCCTGTCTGTCATGTGTGTCTTGCTTAAAATGCGCGCTACATTAACGAATTACGAAAATACATTTAATCATCTTAGCTCTGGTTTTTTGTTTGTTTGCCGAACGCCAAAGGAAATTAAATCATCAAGAGCGTTTGAGTGACAAGATTTTTGATACGTACACATATCTTATATATATAGATAGACATGATACATATTTATGTATTATATTATAAAATGACTAATGTCCAGGGCTCAGGGCACAATTGTGAATTAAGGCTTTTCCTTTTAATAATCTTTCGTAACCTCACACTAAGCGCGGTATATAATATGACGATGCCCACTTTTATGTATCATTTTCTGCATTTGCATATATTTAAACGAGGTATAAAATATTTGAGTTGAGACTGTCATTAAATTGACAATAATTTTTATTTTGGCACGAAAACCGAGTCAAAACCGACATTTCATTTCAGAAAAGTTCCTAATAAATTTAATTAGAAATGTGTTGTGGTTGTATAGTAATATTTGAGTGTGCCTTTGCGTGGGTGGGTGTGTATGCGTGTGAGAGTGTGTGAGAATGTGTGTGAGTGTGTGTGAGTGTGTGTCGGCGGTTATAGTTTTTGGGGCTTTTAAATTGGCATGCAAGCTATGCAGAGCATTGGAATGACGACTGTTGATTGGTATTTTACGTGCTAATTTAATCAAATTTTGTATTGTCTTGAATTGCTTTTACAATTTGCAGCATTGCTGGGGTAATGGGTTTTTAGTTCTTATAGATATGTATATACATAAACATATATGCGAACAGAACTCACCTTCTTCTTGTCCCGCATGGAGCCCTTGCCGCGTACCATTATCTTACAACCAGTCTCTTGTTCTAATTGTTTGGCTGTCATGCCGCGTGGTCCCAAAATGCGACCAACAAAGTTGAACTGAAATGAAAATGTATAAGAAATCACAGGAAATGAGCAACCAATTATAATAATATAAATAACAAATTAGCTGTAGTCTTAATGCCAAAAGTTGATTTCATGAAAATTTAAAACACATTAATACCAAAACGAGAAGGCTGACTCATGAACCAATTCATTCAATGCACAAAACATTCTTTCAAAGTCAAAATTATTATTTTCAATTTTAGCGTCAATCGCTGAGCAGAAAGAAAAAAGAAACACAAATCCGAGTGCACAAGCGGACAAAAACGTAATATGACCTAAGGCGACACGCCTGAATTTGGCACGATAAACCAATCAACCAGATACTCAGATTGCCAACTGCAGCAGCAATGTTAACCGGCGGCAACCGTCAAAGGCATTTGGCATACAATCAAGGAGGGCGACTTGGTGGGGAGCTGCCTGACAACAGGTCATACTGATAGCGCTGTGATGAGGCTTGGCTAGTTGAGCTCTAGCTAACAGCTGTGTAATTGATGAGCCAGGGGCCAATTATCATATGCCTCATGCCGTCTCTGTGAACACGCCCTCAGGCGTAATTTGCTGCTCATAAATTAGACGATAAAATCATAGATTTATTAGGCTAACTCATAGTCGCAAAACTTAACCTGAATTATATATACACCATTTACATATATATATATATATATATATCTTGTTAATGGCGCAACGCTAGCCCAGAGGCGACCACCCACCAAATGTGGCGCAGCTTGGCTTTTGTTAACAAAAAGCGGAAAAAAAATCTATTCCAAACTGATGATGTGATGTGTTGTTGTAGTTGTGTTAACGATGATGTGAGTGGCAGCAGCAACTACAACAGCAACACTCGTTGTTGTCGGAATGTAAGAAAATTAATTTTTATCTATATATCTATATCTGTTTCGTTCGCAATTGCTGTTTGGTTAGCCCGCATCTGTTGCTACTGCTGCAAGGCGACTATTGAGATCGAATCAATTGAAAATTGCTGCAGATGCATAAATGCAGTTAGTTGCCTTACAAATTTTAATTAAGAATTTTAAAACGCGTATAGAAACGGTTTCGCATGTGGCCAAAGACCAAGACAAGTGCTGCTTGCAGCTTGAATGGTTATGCAGAGAGAATTTTCCATGAAAAGTATCGCTTATACGGGAAAATAATATTTACATTCGCAATTGTTGGTCTTTGGCAGCGGGTTATTAATTAAGAGTGGCGTCGAGCTCAACGTTTACATAAGACAGGGACGCTTACACAAAAAAAAGAAAAAAAAAAAAACGAATCAATAAGCCAAATAAATATGATTGTATAAATAAATTATAAATCGTTTTCTTTTTAATGTTTTTTTGAGGGGCTATTGGAAATCAGTTATGAAGGAAGTGCAGTGGCAATTATGCGACTCAAGTGGAACGCGTGCCGTAAAAGCAGCGGCAGCAAACAACGACAGCAACAACAACGATAAAAAGTAAACAATATTTGTTGGTATTGTTTACAGACAGAGCACAGTACTTGAGCCAAATATGCTGTTAACAGACAAAGACAAGGCACGTGATAGGAGCGAACAGGAGCTGCAAGTAAAGTGAAGCAGCTAAAGATGTGGGCATTCGAGCTCTGGCTTATATAACAGATTGTGAGCAGCGATAAGAACGCATTCATTGTCTACTATATACCTATATATATGTATATATATATATATATATATATATATATAAATGTACATATTGATACAGAAAATAAAAAAGGCACTAACAATTGATAAGCCAGCAGCAGTAGCGGCCATAAAATGCTTTTTATAGAACGACCTGAAATCCTCAAAGAAGGAAAGATGCACCCAAATTAAAAATTGATATCAAGACTTGGTATGAAAATCAGCTGCCATGGTTGCCAATGTAATGGACAATTGGTCAAAAGCTGCTTAACGACACGAGGACACATTTTATTTCAGTCAGGGAACAGATGAACATAAAATATATAATAGCATATTGTGCAGTACAGTAGGCTTTCCGCTTGTATATCAAAGCTATTTGTATCTTAGGTGGCAATGGCCGCAAAATTTGTAAATAGTTTTTAACAGCAAAACATCTTTTCATATTAGCCGCCAGTTAACTAGAAAAATGCAAAACTAGGCAACAGTCGGCGCAGATCAAATAGATTACAAATCTGTATAAGTACATTTAAACAAACACACACAATCTATGTCTTCTGTATAGGTGTGTGTAAAAGTTTGTGTGTGTGTGTGTATTTAGTTATGCCCGAGTGTAACACAAAAAGTGTGTCTGTATTCCGCGGAAAAATAAATCAATGCTTGACATCTAACAAAAAAAAACGTACAAACTACCATGCAGTTGCTGTTGTTGTTACTTTTTTCTATTGCGTTTCTGTACTTATTAAATAACTCAAAAATCGAAATGAGCATCTGAGTTGTACGTAATTAGCATTTTATGTTCATGACCAATTCGCTGCACTTTTCAGATTAATTGCCACTTTATTTACGACACACACAATGCATAAAGTGTGCAAAATGTTGAGACAAATGAGTTACACTTAGTTGCATTTGTTGTTTTTGCTGAAAACAATTTAACATAAATATTCCAGCAGTTAGTAATGTCCGCTAATGGACACCATTTTTGAAGGCCCCTCTAACAGCTGTTAACGTCGCATGCAGCTTAGTAGACTATGCTAAGCAGTTAACAGTTGTGGAATCTGTTAAGTTGTTCAACTGCTGTAATCACTTTTTGCAACTGGTTCTCAAGCTGAAAATATTTAATAAAGAATTGAAGAATATGCTAAAAGCAAAACTAACTCAAAATATAAGATAATTTTTAATTTGGACATTCATTTTTCCACACAAAATTAATTTAAAATTATAAAAATTGGCAATTATATATATAAAATTAAAACTGAGATCGCATCTTGCAATTAATACATTAATAATCTCATAATTTTTGTTTTAATAAAATTTTCTCTGTTCCTTCTTTATAAAATTAATATGTTTTCCATTTATAATTAGGTAACTGTTTGAAAATCTTTAAATCGAAATGTCTGTTTATTTGTAAACATATTACATTTACATTTATTTATACATGTATTACATAACTAGTTGTAACAAATATTTAACGGTTGATAAAGACAACTGAACAGAGCTCTTGTTCAAATTTGTTTGAGCAGCTGTTTAGGTGTCATATAAGTTTCATCTTTTATCTAAGCTCTTATCTGTATGTTTATAAATTGAAAACAGAAATAGGAAGATGCCCGTTGGGTCAAAGCGCAAACATGTGAGCTACTCACGCCACGCCACGGGGCGTATGAACATTTTGTTGACAAGCAAGCTGCAGAATGAGATGAACATTGACAGACAGATGGAAAGAAAGAGTGAATTTACAATGAACACTGGCTGCGGAATAGTAGCTAGAGCATCAGCTATGCGCGTTGATAGCTGCACAGTAATTAATTGTAAACTGTTAAATGGCATTGTTGTTGTGTCAGTTTCTGCAACAGATGTTGAGTTTAATTAAGTTGTATTTATGTTTTGGACACAGCAACAACGACAACGACAACAAGCAGCTACAATTAAGCGCATTAAGAGGCCGTATTTGTGGTCTTGCAGTATTCAATGCGTTGCAATCGATCTCCTCCCCAAAGCCCCCTGCCATCATGTTTGCTTGGCCAGTGTTGACAAATTGTTGTCTATTTACATGGCACTCGTTGTTGCCGGTTGTCAGCCGACTGACAAATCATTATTTACATTGTTAAATATGGTAGAAATTATTTACTGCTATTATTTTTCATGAAACGTTTCGGCTAATGCTGCCTGCCTGCTGCGTCAGAGTCAATGGGCTAAATTTATGGCGAATGACGAAGCTACACAAAACATACACATATATACATATACATATATATATAGATGTATATATATAAATAGATATATAAAGGTATATGAATGCACAATAAACAGTGTGCAAACTTGTTGCATTTTCTTGTGTGTCTGGACGATTTGAAACGCAATTTGTCTTGCTTATAACCATTTGGCTTTGGTCATATGCAAGAAAAATGTCAGAAATGTTGTGCGATTTTCATGTTTGGCTATCGAGCTAGAAATATTGCAATTAAATGAAATGATTTATCGCAATGCTGAAACACACCCGCGCACAGCCAAAGCCAACACAAAAAAAAAATCTTCAGTTGGTCAAAGACAAAAATAGACTGTCGAAATACACAGAACACCTGAAATATCAAACAAAAAATTGTATAAAAAAAATAAATAAAACAAAATTCTACATATTTTAGATGTACATATAAAAAGAAGATACATCTATAAAACCTATGCCCTGTGGTCGTAAATCTCAATCGAGCTGTTCCAATTTCGATTTGGAAAGCAAAAGAACAGCATTCTAACAGCACCCGAAACAGCAGCAGCAACATCCTCATCAAAAGCAACTTCAACTCGGTTTTTGCTCTTTTTCAGCATTATATTATGTTCGTTTCTTAATTTATGACTTAACTCATTCATATTCATTTGGCTTTGCTCTTTGTACGAGCAAATCGGACATAAAAACAAACTGTATGCTAATGCTGCTGCAGCCGCTGCTACAACTTGACTAACAGTTAAGGCTTATGCAATGTAGTCGTATAAATTAATTAACTGGAAGATGCTGATGACAAATACTTCACTTGGTTTTTTATTTAATTGTATATGCTCTGTAATGGATTATTTTTTAAGTTATTTATTGAAACTTTAAGAAAAACTTTTTCCATGCATGTTCACACTTGTAAAACTAAAATAGAATTATTTAATGATATTTGATCGACTTTAAACAAAAAAAAGCCTAACTCTATATAGTTTTGCTTTATTAGATTACAGGGTACTGCTTAGTCAGAACTCCTTAAACTTTTTTTACTAGTTTGCTCTGCAGTTAGAACTTTTCAAAAACTTAAGCGTGGCTGGCTAATTAGAAGCTTTAAGCAAGCTAAATTTGCATACCGAACGGACCAAACCAATTAATACTTAAATAAAATATAAGTTTTTTCTTTAAATACACTAAATTAAATATTGTTTGTTTTTCTTTAATCAAATTGTTAGTTTTATATGCCAAGCGCAAACATTTAGACAGCTGTGCAGCAAATGCTTTCACTTTGTTTCAAATGCAGTTGAATTTATGCATTTATGTAGAGTATCAACTCTGCTATCATAGAGAGAGAAAGAGAGACAGAGAGAGAGAGAGAGAGAGAGAGAGAGAGAGAGAGAGAGAGAGAGAACGATAAACAGAGAGATTGTCAGAGAGTGGCAGACATATTCATTAATTGTGTCAAGCAATGATATAAGTTCACTTAGGTCTCGGTTCACGATGCTGTCAGCCATAAAGAAGCCAAACTACGCCCAAACATTTTACACAATAAAAACAAAATTAAACAATAGAACAAAAATAGGGAGAAACAGCATTTGAAATTGCATAAAATTAAATCAAATTCTAATTTGCCATGGCGTTTGGCTAGGCGGCTACACAAAACGCCTACGACGACGACGTCAAGCGACTTCCTAAAACGCTTCACTGATTTTGTCTAACCCATTTAAGGTACATATGTATATATATATACATGCATGTGTGTGAGTTGGGGGAAGGGGGCATTACAATGGGAGTAACGCTGCTGCAGCAACTGATACGCATTTTGCATTTGGCGAGTCTTAAGGCAAGCCCCAAGCTGAGGCAATTGCCAAGTCTTGGACAACTTAACAGCCGACTGATTCCATCAGCTGTCTAAAGGTGTGTTACACTGTATGTGTCAGTGGTCGTGTGTGTGTGTGTGTGTGTGTGTGTGTGTGTGTGCTTGAGTGTTGCCTAACCGCCCATTTGTTGCAGCAACAAGCAGCAGCGTCTCGTATTCTTTGTACGCTGTTAGAGGGCGCACCTTAAAGCGATTTCCGGTGTACCAGTTGCTCATTGGAGCTCATTGAGCAGGCCGTGCTGTCAATTCTAATTAGCGGAAGCGCTACAAATGTGCTTCGATTCATAAATTAGATCATCGTTGATCGTACGTCGAACTATATATACATTTATGTACTTACATCTGGATGCTCACGCACTGGCACATAAACCTTCTCATTCAGCGTAACCATAGCGCCCTCGGGCTCCGGCAGGGTAAGTGGCTCCTTTTTAACGCCATTAATCTGGAATAGGGAAGCGCGCACGCGTGCAATTTCTGTAACAATGATAAAGATAATATTAATAAATGATAATAATAATAATTATTTAATTAATATAAAAAATTCTGCGAATAAACAATTAAAATGCTTGCATTGGTTGGAAAACATAACATCTATATTAGAAATATTATGAGAAATAATAATACTTAATAAGAAATTAAAAATAATAATAGTAAGAAAATAAAGTGAACAAACAAGCTATGCGTAATGCTGCTGTCAATGTAAAAACATATGTATTTTAATTGACGCACTGTTTAACTCGCCGCTAATCATTCTACTCGGTCATTAGAGCAATTTGTCATTTAGTTTAATGCGCGTATTAAATTACTCTTAATTTGACTTTTAGTTATACATATTCTGAGCAGAGTAGCCAGCAAAAATTGTACCAGCATACGCCATTAACGGCGTGTGAATGTTTACTTTATATTAATGCCGCTAATTTATTAGATGCAAAATACTCGACATACCCTGCACCGCCGAACCAGTCACACGCCGACAAACTACACCAACGATTTTGCCACCTAGTGAAATCATTTGGTTTATATATAAACGAATTATGGCATGCATTTGCCTTTCAAATTACAGCGACTATAAAGCTGCGATGAGCTGCATAGGGCGGGGCTGTGTGTGGGCCATGTAAAATGCAATGCCAAATTGCGCATACGCCTCGGTGTGCGCCATAATTCACACATTTAGCGTTTGGGCTACCGCGGCGACCAACTGTGCCAGTTGACAGCGCCTTTACAATTGATATGATCAACATTTTGTTGTTTTATTGTTTAACATTGGATAAGCACAGTTGCATTGTCTAACTTTGGCATGTGCCCGTCTAGCTGGCTCATACACAATGGCCAACAATTTGTCACCAGAATGATAGGACTGATATATGCATATTTATACATCTATATATTTGGGTGTGTGCTAGGCACATGTCATACGGCATGAGTTAAGAAACAGCCACTGTTCATTTCAGTCAGGAGGCTATGTCATCAATTTGATGCATGAGTTGGCTGGCAAACTTATTAATCGCATTTCTTGTTATGGCAACGCAATACTATTAGAGCCTTCTATGCAGTTATTTATTGTTATAAAATTCATATTTCTAGCGGACATCGTTTTGGTTTCCACGAAATTGCAAATTGAAACGTGAATTTTGTTTGTCCATTTCGTTAGCATTTTCTTCAAAATAGATTTCATTCAAGTTCTTGACTTGCTCAACTTTCCACCCGCACTTTCTCAGAATTCACTTTGTTTGGAAGAAAATATAAAAGTTGTTGAGTAAATGTGTTTGTACATGTCTAGACATAGACTAAGACTCTGCATAAAATTAACTTTTAAAAAATAATATTTTAATAATCACTTTAACCACATTCCTGTTAAATTTTAATTTATATTACAATGTAGTTGATATATATTACACAATTTTAAGTTCCAACTTTTGCCTTTACCAAAGTCCGCTCAACCGATTGCTTTAAACTTTCTGCCCCACTTTTGTCCCTTGTGGCCCTCGGTGCCACTGGCTGGCAAATGTGAAATCCCTGCCAAATGTAAAATCGCAATGCATAAAATTTGACAATTTATTGACGCTCCGCTGCTGCTCATAAAGTGCAGCATAGCTAGAAAAATACACAAGTCTATATTTAAAATGTTGCAAAATGTGGCAACCGAGCGCAGAAGGCGCTGCCAACAGCTACCAGAAGGGCATCATAAAGCCGTCAAATTATGTACGGAAAGTGTTAGAAAGGCAGCTCCCGTCTATTTTTGTACAAGCCCAGCCGCCCAACGCCCAGCAAAAGCAAAAACTTTACGAGCAAACTCAAAAGTCAGCACATCACAACATTTTTTGGCACATCCCTTACAAACAACGCAGTATAGACAGCGCTCATGAGTTTTGTTGACTTTTGCCCATTTTTACAGAGACTAGCTCGAGTTTTTAAATAGTTTTAAAAGCTAATAGTGAAATAACACACTTAAAACCGTGTGCGGGTGTTGGCAATAAAAAAAATTAAAACTAAGCAAAAAAAAAAAAAAAAACATAATAATAATACTTAAATGTTGCGTTGCCCACACAAGCAAGCGTCAAGTTCTTTTTGCAAAAACAAAGTTCTTGGCGCCAAATTTGGTAGCGCTGTGTGTGTGCCATATATAGATATTCGATTAGATTTGAATTTCCAAGATAGAAATAGAGTCATAAGCATACACATGTAAATTATGACTAAAACTTGACTTGCATTAAGAGTGGCGGCATTTGAATGAATGAGCGATATACATTCAAAAAGCAACTACCTTATAAGCACTAGAGACCGAGAACTTGTTAATGAATAAAAAAGATCTTTCATTGATAATTATTAGATTGGCATAGCAGCTCGACACCTACACATAAACGAGGTGCACAACCTGCTCGCCAACTCAGCCAATGCCCTTAAATGGTCAGTTGGCAACGGACACGGGATTTAATTATAGACTCAGTCAGGTATATATCATACAGATATGTAAATGTGAAGAGAGCGAGAGCGAGTGAGAGCGCAAGACAGACATAAAAGGCAAGTTATTAATTAAGCCGCCTGCGCATATGGCTTTAGTCAGGCTTAATTGTTGTAATTTATCTAAATGCTGCTATCAATTTGGTCTCTAGGTGACTAATCCGATTCTATGATAATAACAACTGACCCTCGGGCCACCGAGCAACCATTGGCTTCGTCATATGCAAATGCAATTGCAATTCTATGCGAATTTGGCGCGGCTTATTCATCTAATTTGCCTTTAATATTCGTGTGCCGCACATCAGTCACGTTGTCTGTCCGCCGGTTCGTCTGTCCGTTTGACATTTGACCGATTAAAATTGACAGCTGTCATGATTGCGTTTATGCTTGAAAAGATCTCAAGCGCAGATTTCGTGATTGCACTTGTATCCAAAGAATTTGCAGTTTCGTGCGGAAAATGCCAGAAAATGCCGACTAAATAAAAAGCTTTTCGCCGGCGTTGCCCTTAATTTGCTTTTGAACATCTATTAAAATCAACGCACACAAAAACAAATTTATGCGCGCACATTTTGCTTGCTTGCGACAAATTCCATGGTGTATTCAATATTTCAGTTTTCACTCGCATCTCTTAATGAGTTCTTTGGCCGATTCTTAATGTTCTTGGACAGCTAGAACGAGCCATGTCTTGTTATTTATTTTGGTTGATGGTTTTTCTTGTTTTTCGCTAGCAGAAAACAACATTTTCTTGTTCGTGTTGTTGTTGATCAACTGCGCTGTGAAGCAAATGAAATTATACTATGTGCAATTTTTTTAAAAGTCTCAAGAGATTTTCCACTTTGCTGCTTTGGCTGCTTTTCTGTGGAAATTCACGTATATTTTCGTTGCTTATAAATTATTTATGCGTGCAATGCAAAGGCGTTGCTTAGACGAACATAAAGTTCAATTAAATTAAATGTCAAGACGCAAACTTTTAAAAACATTTTAATGGTAAATAGAAAAGAAAAGTCATCTAATTTAAATGAAAATACTTAAATTGGTAAAAATTGATAGAGAAAATGTTTAATTGTAATCTATATTTAGTTTATTTTTATTAATAAATATTTATGTACGTATTCTACTATGTATTTGCTTGCATTTGATTAATATGAAAACACGATTGTTGCTTCCACATAACCGCAGACAACCTTGTTCACGCCAAAATCTTATCCCAGCTTGTCAATCTTATAAGATATGCCAAACAGGCAGACAGGTAAACAGGCAGGTAGGCAGTTAGGCCAGTTGACACCTAAACCAAATTAATACCAAGCTCAGCTCACAACTTGGCAACTCTGCGGGTAGATCAGCTGATTGATTGTTTTTGGTGGAGCGGAGTAATTTGCATTGGATCACGACAAGCGAGTTTAAGTGCGCTACATAAGTATCTAAGTACCTGGCAGCTAATTTATGAATGCAAGAGCATTCATGCCACGAATTAGATGATTCGCGCTGTGTGTTCCCACTGCTCAGCTCAATGTGGGTGTAGCCAGCGTATTTTGGCCTTAACAATGCCAAAAGCTAATCGTGTGGGTGACAAGCCGACTTTTAACAAATTGTCACAGCAATGACAAACGCCTCGTAATGGCGAAAAAACAATATACAAATAAAAATAAAAAATAAAAAAAAAATGCTTAAAGCTTGGCTTGAATGTTGGCGGCTGTGTTCCACAGCCACTGCAATTAAGCCGTTCGCCTCCGGCCATAAACCAACTGCAAGCACATTTGGCATGAACTCCACAAATGCCTTGGACGGCCTTGAGAATTTGCAAACAAAATCACTTGGCGCAAAACAAAAACACGCACACGCACGCACACAAATATCGCATATTCATGTATGTGTATTCAAGTAATTTCATATATTTGCTTTTTGTATTTTGCATACTTATTTTGTGCACATTTCTTGGCCTGCGGTTAGCCAGTTCCATTGATATGAATGGTCTGTGGACAACAACACAACAACAACAACAACAACAGAAACAAGAATATTTGTAAAATAAAATATTTTAAGCATTATAATATTAAGTATATGTATGTCTGCATAATTTTTGGTTGCCTTTCTTTACTGAATTTCGTTTAATACTGTATAATTTGTCACTTGATTTTTTTTTTTTTAGTGTATTCTCGTATCGTTAGGCTGTCGTTAACATGTTGGTTCACACGCCACAACAACTTTGCCGCTTCGATAAAATTTGGTTGTTTTTTGTGTTATAAAATTAGCATTATTATTTCAATCAACACATGCTATAATAAAGATACGCGTAAAAGTTGTTGGAATTTTAAAATTGCATTTTAAAAATATGCAAGCGCTGGCGTCCATTTTTTCAACACTTTTATTGACACAGGTTGAAACAGAAAACAAAAAGGTTCTAGTCGAGAATAACAGACAAAAAGATACTCCGTACTCAGAAAAGGATGTTGTGAAGTATTCTGTAAGTACGCATCGAAATCTACTCAGCTGTTGATGCTGATCAATTGCAA